GACGGTCACCGGGCTCTGTCATGCCCGGGCGGCGGACATTCCAAAGCCCCCGCTTCACAACCCTCTTCTGATTGCCAGGAAAATCCAGCCCTGTGGGGGATGGGGTGCTTGGGTGGGCGCAGGGCGCTCGGCCCTGTTCCCTGCCCCACCGGTGAGCCTGGACCATGGGAGCCGGCGTGCCTCGGCGGAGGCCCGCAGCGAGGCATGGGCTGTGCTTCGGTACCTGCCCGGGTAGCTGCCCGTGGTTGCGGTGCGGCGGGGTCAAGGGTGTCCAGGGGCGATTTGGTTCCCAGGCACTCGAAGATTCGTAAGGGGTAGAGCTTGGCTGATGGTTAGCATCCGAGCGCAAGGACGGCGCGTGGGGGGCTGGCTGCGAGGGAACCTCCGTGCGCGGGGTCCTGCACCTGCCGGGCCACCGTCTGGCGTGCACAGGGAGCTCTGCGTGGCTGGGGAGCCCGCAACTTCCCTCTGCGGGCCCAGGCCCTGGGCTCTGGCGTCGGGGCCTCCGAGGCCTTGACCTCAGTCCTTGACATTTAAAGGGAGCAAATATAGCCATTTCTACCAGGTTCTGGGAAGTAGAGGAAATTGACAGAAGGCCACTCTCTTTCATTATTGTGAATATGAACATAATACACTTGAATGTTCTTTTAAGGAAAAACAATGGATTTACTTTCACTATTAAAGGGGATTCGTGTCTCATTCTTTTGGAGCAGTTGCGGATGCCACCGGTTGCAATTTTGCTCTTACGAAAGTCTGGCGATTCATTCCAGATTTTACATGTTAGCACCGACAACGTTGATTTAACGTGGACCGTCACATAATTTTCAACCTTCATCCATTCATAGGTAGATCGTGTTTTCCACCCTAGTTGAAAACATCCAAGTTCAAAAAACAAAGCGCCCGAAGGCTCTGGGGCCCCCATTCTAGTGCTTCGGCTCCGAGGTTGCTTCCAAGTGATGCAAATCAGTCTCTTCCTGTGAAAGTTTCCCTCCGGAGCCCACCCCGGGGCCGGGATGGGAGACGGCCATAAATCCAACCCATGGGTGGACAACGGATTCCGTCCGGATCCGAGAGGGGGCAGCTGAATGGCGAGGACGCTACATGAACGCTAAGGAGGGAACACCAGGTTTCTGAGGTCAGGGACAGGCTCACGGTCTTGGGACACAGGGGCGTGGCCAGCTGCTGGGCACTGGGGAACGAGATACTGAACACTCCACCCACTGATGATGTTTCTTTCTTCCTTTTTTTTTTTTTTTTGCTCATTCCTTATTTAAGGAATAATCCCCTTATTTAAGGAATGATCCCCAGGTAGTATATGACTTTGAAAACAAATATTCCTGTGGCATAATTTTCTTCTTAAGACAGTTTTCATGCTGGAATGACTCCATCGATACCCAACATATTTCCTGAGGGGGCAGGAGCATTAGGTCGAATGGTCCAAGGCCACTGGGCGTGGATTTCTTACAAGGCGCCTTTTCCCAGCGGCTACAGAATCTCCCACGTCCCGTCTGTAACACCGCCCAGCAGGCGCCGTTCTGGTTGGAGGCTTGCGACCCTCTGGCAAGCCCGCCTTCTGCTGGTACGCCGCAGGCCTGCATGCGTCCATCACCGGCGTGCATCCCTGGCAACTCGGCACGTTGATTAGTTATAACCCGTTTTCACAGCTATTGAAGACGTCTGTTTCTCCTTCTCATGCGCCAAGACCTAATGGATTTCATTAGTTCGTGGGTGGTGGTGACTGGCCTATATCAGTGGTGCTCAGCCGAGACTGAGTCTGCAATGAACGTAAAGGATGACGAGATATTCGGGACTGTCCCCATTTGGGGTACTGCCGCGTCCAGGGGGAGAGGCCAGGGACGCTGCTAAACGTCCTACCACAGGACAGCCCACCACAGCAGAACCATCGGTGTATTTACTGGGATCACATAAAATTTACAGAGAATAAACAATTCGTGGAAAATGACAAGGGGAAGTGACATTGCAGAGGTGTTTATGATGTCACCCTATTCAGTAACATGGTATGAATTGTATTCGTTCAAGTTTATTGTGCCCCTTAGGAATGTTTCACAGTTTTCTTGTTGATATTTTATGTTAAGTTCACTCCAAGGTATTTCAGTTTTTTAGTTTCCACTGTGAATAGGGCTCTTTCTTCCCTTTTATCTTCTAGTTGTGAGTTCTATATTGAGCTCTGTAAATTAATATGGGACTCCATTAATTGTTTCTCTAATTTTTTTAATCTTTTTCATCCAACTTTATTAGCTACTACTGGAATTTAATTCAGTTTAATATTTAAAATGCTAATAATAGTGGAGTTAGTCGACACCCTTTCCACACTAGGCATACTATTTACTTCCGAGCAGAGATTAATATACTTTATCAAGTTAGGGAATTCTTCTTTCATTTCTGTTTGATTAAAAAGAAAGTTGGGTTTTTTTTTAAACAAAAGATGAATTTTGACAAATGTCTTTTAGGAATCTATTGGAATGAAAATATGAGTTTTCCCTTTAAATTTGCCAAGAGGATGAAGTATGTTAATCATAACTCTGTCATTCCTAATACTGAACCATCCTGGCAGTACTGAAAAAAATCTTACATTTGGACAAAGTATATATTTCTTCTGATATATTCTGGATTCTATTTCTAATATGTTATTTAGCTTCCTTTTTTTCTAAATATTCTTGAGAGATAGTAGCCTATTGTTTACTTTGGGGGGGAGTCCCAATTTTTGGTGGGTTTTGATTTCCTTATTATTTTGCCTTCTTAATAAAAGGATTTGGAAGCTTTTGTTCTTGTGAAAAAATTAATCAATTAAAATCCAATATAAACAAGTAAAAACAGTTATTACAGTTTAGTTAATTTATTAAACAGGATTTTGTGTGTTAATGTAGTAATCACCACTTAAACTTAGTTTCTAAAGGAGAAACAAATACTAAGTCTAAACTCCTAACTTACAATAAAATCTCTAGATAGGCAAAAAAAAAACCCCAAAAATCCTGGTTCTGCCATTTATTTGTTGTGAGAGATTGGAATAGTTATTTTACTCCTTAAACTTGCTTTTCCTCTCCTGCGAGATAAAAACTATTACAACGTCTCTTTGTAATTATGACTATTAAGTGAAACAGTGCCTATAAAAACTCACCAAAATGTCTGGCACAGCAAATTTAAAATATTACGAATATTTGCTCAATAACAGCCTCTAGTTCAAGTGGAAAACTGACTCAAGAGTTTTCAGAGTTGTTATTTCTAATGAGCAGATTTTATCCAAGGCAAAGAACTAACTGACCCATGCTTGTTGCCTAGCTAATTTTTTTCCCCAAAAGAGCTGCTTATGGAATTTTAAAAAAATACCACTGATGAAGTCCTATATTCTTCTTCCACAAGAAGACAAACATGACATGAAGTTGGAGAGCAATGTGTTGTTTTCCTTCAACAAATGTACCTGAACTTGCACATCAAAGAAGAGCTTTTATCTTCAAAGGAATCACATCAGGAAGCCATGCGCGTACTTCAGTAACGCTGCCAAGTATTTTTGGAACTCTTCCTTCTAAATTACCCTCCGCGCCTGCTTCAAATTCTTTTAGATGTCTTCATTGGCAACAAACTTTTATACTTTGGGAGTTCCTAATTTTGAAAGCAGATTTAAAACCAACTCTTATAAATAAGAGGGAGGGTAATGTCACATCTGGTTAAAAAAAAAAAAAAAAAAAAAGGAAGTGAGGTCTTTTTGCACAGCTTGCAAACTGTCTCGAGCTATTCCAGAGAGGGAGTCTCTAAAACATTTCAGACCCGTGGAAGCATTACGAGAATTAGAGTGCTGCTTTCTGTGTGATTAACGAGTTACGGGTTTATTTAGTTAATTTTATTAAACAAATACTTATAGAGCACTGTGTATGAGCGCTGTGCTAGGAACTTTCGCATGTATTAGCTCCTTACTGCTCACCTCTTGGGGTAGGTAGTTTTATTACCCACGTTTTACAGATGAGGTGACTAAGGCACAGAGAAATTAAGAATTTCATCCAAGGACACAAAACTGGTCATTGGTGAAGGCAGAAAGTGAACCCAGGCTGTCTAGTACACGTGCGATTTTTTCCAAAAAGTGCAACCCGTGCGCGTTAAGGGCCATGCTGGCCGGGTTCAGGGAGGCACTGCAACTCAAACCCGGCGAAAAACGCCGTCTCTCTCCACGGTGTGTGTGAAACGCGGGGAGAAGCCCTCTCGGTGTCGATAGGTGTCCCCCAACCCCCTTGGCTCTGCGTTCCCACAGCAGGTCACCCAAGGAGATACGAGCCCCCCGTTCTAGCTCCCGGGGTCGGCCCAGTTTTCCCACGTAAACAGGCCTTTTTACAACACTTCGCCTCATGCCGGGCGCAGTCTCTCTCCTCCAAGTTTTCCTCAGGCCTCGTCTGAAGCTCCCTCCTCCAATTCACTCTTCCCAGCGTGCCACTCGTGGCTCCATTTATTTCCTTTCGCGAGTATCTATGTTTTTAATTTGTTTCAAGTACAGTTCACACCCAACACCATCCCGCGTTCGTTTCAGGCGCACAGCGTCGTGGCCGTTCACACACCTCCCACAGCGGCCCCGCCGCGGCACCCCGGGCACCCGCCCGGCCCCACCCCTCCTGAGACCGGCGCCCCAATCCCAGCAGCCGGGCTCCCCCGGCTGAGGCCCCCTGTGACTGTCCTCCAGCCACCCACCTGTACTCCGTATTTCCATCTTGCTAGGCCAACGGGAGAGAGAGGAAAGAGGAAAAAGAAAGGACAGGCCCTAAAGTATTTTTAAGTTCTCTTTGAAAAAGCACCGTATCATTCTCCATCAGCAAAATGCTTTGAATGGCTCGCTCTGCTCTCCTTTGCTTTGAAATAGGAGTTTCCAAAGCGGCTTCGTACCAATGCCAAGAGCCTGTCGCTGGTCAGCCTCTCGCTAATGACAGCAATGCCAAGGAAACGTTTTTAAGCAAATTGAAAAAAACAATGACTATGCCGGAACTTTTTCATTTCAGGATAAAAGAAAAATACAGGAAGAAATCTCACAGAAGCGGCTGAAAGTAGAGGAAGAAAAACTGAAGCACCAGCATTTGAAGGTAAGCACATGTTCCATTTCATGTCAACGATTCCGTGCGCAGACAGCCTGATGTCGCGCAAATTCCACCAGGAAACTCAGACATAGTCCTACTAACACCCCAACTGCCACAAGGGAGGCCAACAGGCTGGTGATAGTCACGTAGGACAGGAATACCTTTGGGCAAACATGTAGAGAATTGAAAATACTTACAACTTGTTATCCCTTATTACTGGATTTCCTCATTTTCTTGGATGAACTTGAGAATTCAGCCTTGACAGTTTGGCCCAGAACAGCCTTGCCTGACATGCCAGGGGGCAGATCCAGCTAGGAAGTGCCTTTTAAAATCAATGAAAGGCCATCCTTTCCCCAAGGGACGCAGAACAGACGCTGTCTGGCCCGGCCCAAGAGGCTGGTGTTTAAAAGCTCGGCACTGTGGAGCCGATGTTTTGGGGTGTTGTTTTATTTCGTTTTGACAGACATGAGATCATAACCAAAAATAAAGCTCCATTTTAAAATCGGGCTTCCCATCTCCCACGGGTGTGGTCGTGTTACAATGAAAGCACATTGATGGAGCTTCCACACTTTCTTACGCGGCTCAGTCACCGGATGCAGCCACATGACTAACAGCCTCCGTGTGAATGGGCCACAGCGGGACATCGCTTGCGTGGCAGGTCTTCTATCCACGGATGTAAGGAACCCTCAATGAAGCCACGCCGTACACGCGTACGGCCCACAAACTGGGGCGAAGCTGGCTGAGTTCAGCTAAACCATCTTTCCAATGGATCCCGGAACCTCCTCTGAACAGAAACCTAAGGGACCAGTTAGCTTGTTTTCTGGTTCTGTTTGTATCTTTGCTCCTGTGCAAACTGACATTTCCAGGGTCTGACACATCCTCTCAAAGCACAGGAGGCCAACTGTCTTCACAATGTCACACTGAATTTACACGAGTCGTAGACATGGACAAGAAATGCAGTGTGTGCTCCTGAGAAAAGCAACAAAATAACAACAAATTTTACCAAGTTATTTCCATGCCACTCAACTGAAGTCAAAGCTCCCCGCCCAGGGGGCTGGCAGGGGCTGTAACCCCCTTCGACAGGAACTATCTGTCCTCTTTACTGGGTGTTAGCTATCGTCCTAGTCCATCAAATAAAAGTAAATGAAAAGCAAGGTAAATCTTAAAAGGCTGACAGGCTAAGATTTCCTTGGCACCTCTGACCTCAGGAGATAGCTCCTGACCTTTGGGGATGACATTTACCGAGGGAAACAAGCACTGGGATAAAGAACTTCTGGCCGCAGCACGGCTGTCCCCAGGCACCCCGTTTGTCCCAATGGACCACGTGAACCCGGAAAGGCCGCTGCAAATGTGACACCCAGGGACGAGGCCACTCCCCAGCCTGGCTGTCTTCCAGCCGTGCCCTGGGCCTCCGACGGCTCCAGGCTCCCCGCCCCCCGCTCCACAGGGCCGCCCAGGCTTCCTCTGATCACAACATCACAGCATGTTGATTTGTAATCTGCATCCTAGCTTTAAGTTATTTGAAAATCACTGCCTTAAAATAACCATCCTTTGGGAATTACCTAGCACGATCAACCTTAATTTTTTTTTTTTTTTAATTCAGAGACATTTACATGCCAGCAGTATTAATTCTAGCATCTGTTGAAAAGAAACAAAAATTCCTCTTACTTGATCCCATTTATGGTGTGAGAGAAAGAAGTCCCAGATAATAAAGAAAAGTTTCTATTCTCCTCACCGTTGTAGACGCAGTGAACTGTCAATGAATGATTATTGAACAGATGATTTACAATAACGCATTAAATAGCCACAGCACTTTCCTTCAGGAACAAAAGGAGAAATGCAGACTCTTTGAAAATAATATCCAACTGTTTCTACTTGAGACATGAACAGGATGCTAGCTAAGTACCCCCAGAATTCACAAGTCTCTCATTTACTCTAAGTCCTCAGGCTCAGGTCCAGGAATCAAACTCTTTCATGTGAACTTAAGAGGGTTTTCTTTCCATATGATGAAACATAAATCTTTTCTGCTTTGTTGAAGTTGACAAAACTTCCACTCACCAATATTTAAACAGATCAGTGAATTTTGTGCAGCATGTTATTGGGAAAAGAGGAGAGATGAACTTAGGGATCAAGAACCAGGAAGGTTCTCAGAAGAAAGCAGAGGACACCCTGGCCAGGTGGCTCAGTTGGTTGGAGCATCGTCCCATGCACCGAAAGTCTGCAGGTTCAATTCCCGGTCAGGGGACATACCTGGGTTGCAGGTTCAACACCCCCGTTGAGGCATATACGGGAAGCAAACAATTGATGTTTCTCTCTCACATCGATTTCTCTCCCCCGCTTCCTCTCTCTATAAAATCAATTAAAACATATCCTTAGGTGAGGATTTGAAAAAGAAGAAGAAAGCAGCAGTACTGAGTAGGCAAAACAATGTTGGCCACACAGCCTGAGACTAACGTTGAATTGGTTTAAGATACAATAGCGATCTCTTGTTTCGTCCACCATTCCAATGATCCCCTCAAAGGATTTTTCTGGGGAGCAGTAGCTGTATAGTGTCACTGGGATGAATATCAAATGGCTTCAGGGAGCTTCTTACTTTGAGGTCACAAGACATAACCCATCAGCCAAAGAAATAACCATAAAGCCCCAATGAGAAGGTCCCTTCGTAACTCCGTGAAGATGCAGTAAACATGCAGCGTGTACCTGTAAGCACATGATGCTGTGTGACTTTGAAGGGATCCCCCTGGGGAGTGAGGACCAGATGGGGGGGCAGGGGGACTAGATCTTCATAGAGAAGGAGGGGCCTGAGCCAGAACTTGAAGGAGAAGCAGGATTTGGAGCCATCAAAACTGGCTTATGAAGAAAGTCAAGGAGGGTACAAAGAACAAAAATGCTGTAGATGTATTCAGGCAAGGCAATGAGAGAACATAATTTTTCTTCAGTGGGTCCACTGAAGTACATAGACTTGAAAGCTGTCAGAGATTTTGGAATTGTTGACCAATTTAAGAAAATACCCTTATGTTTCCTGAAACCAGAAAAAGGCCTTGCGAGAGAAATGGCTTCTCGACGGGGTCAGCAGCGGGAAAGAGCAAGAAGAGATGAAGAGGCAAAACCAGCAAGACCAGCACCAGATCCGGCTTCTGGAACAGAGCATCCTCAGGTACGGCCTCCCTGCGACGCTCCGCAACCACCTTGACTGCGACTTTGTCCCCACGTCGCGTGTGTAGGAGCCTTTCTCATTTCTAGGGACACAACCAGATCTCCCATTTGGATTTCTAAGAAAAACGAGGGAAACACACCAGAAGGAAGCGATAGAAATTTTAGATGCATTGCAACACAAGAGTTATTTTGAGAGTACACGTTGGTGACTTGCCCATAGCTCTCTGAGCCTGTGTCCTCATCTACAAAATGACAGAGCCACTCCCACCTTTCAAAGTTATTGAGATTAAAAGCATAGATATGGAGCTAGAAGCCCCTTCCTGAACTGTGGCAGGGCACCAAAAAGCAGCCCTACTCTGCCCCAAACCCTACTCTTGCCTTCGGACAGGAGACAGTTCTACAGGCTTGGGCACCGTGCCCCACTCCACTGCACCTCCCCCAGGTCCAGTCACACCCACAGCATTTTGGGAGAGAAGACACGTAGGGACACTTCACTCACATTTTCTCTCGTCCACGTCCCCCCCGATCGTCTGGTCCCAGGCAGTGGCCCCACCTCCCCACGCACATCCCAGCCCGTCGGACATCATCCGTGCTGAGTCGGCACGTCTGCTGGGACAAAGTCTTTCACCTGCCTCGGTGTACGATGAGGCGATGGGAAGGAGCACAGCTGGACAGCTCAACTCTAAGATGGGATTGTTAGTATTATCACAAAATAGAGACGCACGAGAGAAAGAGGTAGGGCCATGTCAGAATCGCTTTCAACCTGCTTGTGGAAGCAAGCAAGGTGGGATTTCTTGTGGTACAACAACACTTTAAAGGCTACACACCTTTGAAACATGGGTTGCTTTCAACACTTCGCTTGCGGCGCATCTGTTCTCTTTAGCGAGGACTGCAGGAAAAGACCCGCGGGACCAAAGTGCCTGGTGGCTGTGCTGGACCACCAACACAGATCCCATGGGGCTAACACTGACCACGGGGAAAACAGCGGCCTTTTCTCCAACCGATATTATTTCACATACTTGTATATTTAATAGCTAAAATCACTGACCGTTCATCCTTACTGAGATGTTTTGTAAATTAACAATTCTTAAGACAGGACATCTTGTCATTGAAATGTTTACGTCTCTAACCCCCTCCGCAGTTGGCTCAAAAATAGGAAGTGAATCTGCATAGTTTTTAACAAATATTTTAGAAACTAATGCCGTAAATCAGCTTGATGATTTGGAAGACTTGCTTCTTCATCAGATGACTCTTAGCAAGAGCTCCTTACCCAAGTCCGGCTTAGCTGCGGACAGCTTCGCTCATTCCCCGACACGGAGCCTTATTCTGGAGGAGTCTGCGTTACATCCCTGTAAACGCCCTGCTCGGCACAATTCCTCCTCGCTCCCCTGAGGACCCCTCCCAGGGCTCTTTCCACAGATGGAAGAGAAAGGGCCTGTCTGCAGAGAGAGCCCTAGGAGAGATCCCGGGGCAGCGAGGAGGTATCCATGCCGTTGAGCACCGAATGGTAATTGCACTTGAACTCCATTCCAAGCTTGAGCTGTGCTCTGAACAGTCCCAGGGAATGGACTCCACTCCACTGACTGCCTCCGGACCTTGACTGAACGCTCAGGGGAGCATGGAAGCTTCTAGTAGCATTGACAGTGGCTTGCCTTGTTAGAGCTTCTATATAACAGGGGGGAAAAAAAAGAGGAGGAAGAAGAGGAGAACATGTACTTTCCGGCCACAGTGGCCTCCAGGCCCTTTTTATATCTGTCGTCTCATTCAATCTTCCTGACCCCGGGAGGCAGTTGTCCTCACCTTCCCTTTTTGCAGAGAGATCAAAGCACTTGCCCGTTAGGACGTGGCGGGTCAGAGGCAAACTCCGGGGACTTCCCCGCCACGCTGCCTGCGCCACGACCGCGCACGAGCCTCCCAGGAAATCCTTTCCCCAGGAGCTCCCCCCACACTTGGGGTCCTCCGTGCCCCCCTTTGCTGAGTTACCAATGACACGTCTGCTTCTCACCCAAGTCCCGGCACCTCGCTACGACTTTATCTCAGATGCTCACGTGTCCCTAACTCATCACGGCTCCTTTCGAACAGCAAAGGATAACAATTGCCAGTGGAAAGAACAGCAACAGCAATGGGTCTTTTCAGGTGGCATCATGCAGTTTACGAAGCACTCGCCCTGGGGTTAAGCCTCTTCGCACACCTCCATCCCGCGGACAGGGACATGCACCCAGCGGGGATGAGGGACAGGTCGCGGAGCCAGTAGCAGGGAACCCGGGGCCCCCAAGCCTGTCAGGTCCCATGCTCTCCCGCGACCCCACCGAACGGGAGCAGTAGGAATGGGCGCTCTGGTAAAGTAAGACCCTCACACCTATGAGGACGCTGCTTCAAGGAAGGGTCCCTATGAGGTGCACTTGCAGTTTGTCAAGAACTTGCATTGTTGTGCCCCATGAAGGCATGCTTATCTCCATAAAAATGCGCTAGGGACAGAATGTCCCAAAGCAACATGCAAGGACAGGAAATATCTGTGCCTTGTCCCTGGGACGCAGCCTCCGCCACTGCCCAGAATTACAGAAACCTGTTGCCCAAGGAGCTTCAGCTGACAACCGAGCCTTCTCTTCCCAGATATTTCTAAGGCTGCTCAGTGATCAGGGGCACATTTTTAAATTCAGCCTCGCTCCGAGACAGCTACCCATGGCTCTGAAGCGGCTCCTGTGGCCAGCCAAACACAGCACTGTGTTTCCCGGGTCGCTCGGAGAGGCCCCGAGCCACCGAGGAAGGATCTGGAACCCGCAGCATCATTTATATGTCGCCTGACTCAGTGCCCGCCCAGGAGTGATGTTCGCCGTGCGCCAGGCCTCTCCGCTGGAGGATAACTTTTTAACAGGAGCATCCAAACAGTTACGTGGCTGGTAACTCAGACCTGAGCGGAGCCAGGCTTGGCCCGAGAAGCTTCCCTTCCTTCGACGTTCACGGTTTTCAGAGTTGGACTCCACGTCCGGCCTTTGACATGCGGACCCCTGCCCTGCCACCAGAGAGCATAAGCCCAGCCATGTTCTTCCCTCCCCTTGGGCCTTGGTTTCTTTGTCGGTGACAGGGGCACAATGACGGCCACGTCGCAGGGCTGCTGTGAGTGAAGCAGCTTCCAGAGGGCCTGGCACAGGGCAGGTGCCCAAAGAAACACGTTAGATGCCAGTCCCTCTCAGGAGTAAGAAGCCGCTACTAAGGACCCTGCTTACGGCAGCACTTCTGCCTTTTGGCCAGGCTGTCGTTTCTTTAGGGGACACAGAAAATCCCTTCCTTTGAGTAAACTGCGATTACCCCCCAAGGAGAATCTGGAAGGGATTGATAGGTTCTCCTATGGCTTGAAGACTAAATCGCTAATGATGGGAGGTCATCATGTTGACCGCGTGTCTTACATGCTCCCCGTGTGTCCGTTCACCGAACTCTCCTGACCGCCTCAGGTGGCAGGTAACATGTCAACATGAAAAACTGACATTTTTAGAGGCGAACTTGCCCCTAGTCATACAACTAAAAAAATGAAGAGCCAGGATTTAAAATCTGATTAGAAGTCTTTATCATAAAAATAAATTGTGCCTCTTCTACTGCAGAAAACGTTTACAAAAGGTAAATCCTGCACACGCGACGGTTTTACGGCACCGATTTGCTGATGTCCAGTCCGCGTTCTGGTTTCACGCCTGTGTGCACCGCTTTGGAAAGACGTTCCTGTGGGGCCTGGGCAGCTCCCTGACTCACACGTAGCCTTTAGGTAAAGCGTGTCTGCTTATTTATCCTCTCGCCTTTTCTTTCAAAGAGAGGCAGCATTTCTGAAAATACGTGGGCTTTTGTGCTATTTGTCTCTGAGTCACGTTCTTAGCTTTGGAACAGTATTAGTGGGTTGCCCGGCCTCCTGGTTAATGCCTTAGAAGGAAATGTTCCCAGGAGGAAAACATCTCCTTCTGAATCACGTCGCTTAAAAACAGCTTCCGTTTGCCCCCCACGTGAGCCCTGCGCTACTGGGACCGCCGAGCGCAGACCCAGGTGCAAGTTGAGCAGGGGCCTCGGCCCAAACACCCAAGTGCACCATGGACATGTCCACAGGGGCTGCGCCGTTCACCCCGGGCCCCTCTCTCCTCTGCAGCGGCCCTGCAGCCCCGAAGCTGCCTTGCCTCGGGCTCCCTCCAGACCCTACTGCTTCTCCCCCCGTGTCCACAGACCTCTGACTTCGACTGGACACCCAGGGCGCTTGACAGGCATGTCAGAAGCAGAAAATGTAACAAGGTTACCTTGCCAAGGAGAACGGTGCAAAGCCACGGCATTCTCTTTGAGAAGGGTTATCGGCTTACACTGAAACGCTCTCTAGTAAGGAGTTTTAAAATATCCCTAAGCACCCTCCTGAGCCTCTGCCCTCCTTTGATGCACTTTCATTGGAATACAGACAGTTAGCAACCGCCTTCCGCATACAGCATTAGCAGGAAGATGCATGTGATGCACAATTTCCACGCAGGTGTGTGTCACGAGAAAAGAGGAGGAGGGGCGTGATAGCAGCCTGGCCACCCAGGAACCTCGGGCGATCCCTCCACGCGTGGTGGGGGGGGACGGGGCACTGGAAGGCGCATCCTGCTCCACAGCATAGAAAGCGATCACCCACCCAGCAGCTCTGAAGGCGGCCGGCAAGCCTCCGCTTCCCAAAGGGGCCCAAAGCCCTGGCGCTGAACTGCAAAGGCAGAAGGATCGTGCTGCTGGCTATGGTTTAGCAAACTGTCCATCGCTCTTGTTTCTGCCGTTGTGGAACCCCCACCTGACGCTCCCGCCTGCCTGTGCAAGACAGTTGTGCCTTAATGAACCAATGTCTCCTCAAACAGGGAGAGGCATGCTGCATGAAAAAGACCCATTCTCGAGGCCTCTGCCTTCCTGCTCGGCCCAGCAGCCACGGCCAACGCCGCGCTGTAGGCGCAGGGACAAGCTGCTGTTCTGTGACGGCGTGAGAGGGAAGAGACAGGAAAGAAAGGC